TCACTGTGGCCCCCATAGGACGCCTGCGTCTACAATGGAATCATGGGTGGCTTGTGCTGCATCACCCACATCTCCATCTACACACCCCATTTCAAGTAGGAGGCATGTGGATGGGAATCACGTTTCATCAACGGAGCGGACTCAAACTCCTTTACCAGGCACAGTAGCAGCATTCCTGTCCATCTATGTAGGAAGTCATACGTACCAAATGTACACTAGGCAGTGGCTGGACCGTAACCCGCTCTACACTAGATGGAACCATTGAGTTTAGTATGGCTACGAGGACCGTGCACCCCGTCTCCCCAGCAACGACTTAGTGTGCTGGAACCAGCAATCCAGGTGAAAAGTGTTAGACAGGTAGGCAGCTTGTCAACATTCACATCAAGCGCAGCCACACTGGGGATATCAAACCAACACAATGTAAGGGAAAGTAAATACGGAAAATTGATACAGAATACGCAGCAGAGTAAGAAAATTGAACAAACCAAATAAAGTGGAGTGACTTTTATCTGGAGTAAAAAGACATAGATTAAGTGTAATTTGGTTTGGCCGGCCGGTGGCCGAGTGGTCTGCGCCACTGGTTTGAAATCATAAGGTCACTTGTTCGAATCCGCGTAGAGGTGTGTCGTTGCGGTATACTCAGCCCGCGTGCGACTGATGGTGGTCGCGCGGCAGCGAATCGCCGTGACGGTGTACATCTGACACATTATTATTATTATTATTATTATTATTATTATTAGTTAACTGTGATGAAAAATCATAATGAATGTAACAGCAACCTCACAGTCACACGAAAATGTTATCTAGCATAAACTTTATACACATCTTTTCGGCCTACTCCCCTCCGTTTCTTTCTGAATAAAGCCTATTAATTAGAGCTATGCTCATTTTCATTCGGCATGGTTCTGCTTGGTCTATTCATATAACACTGATTGTTTCTGAAGGTACACGGAGAAATAACGGCCAAAATGCACGATGATGAAATGGAACTCGTTAGGCGCGTGCGAAACATGCTAACGTGGGTTCTGTGTCTAATGCGTAAGTAAGTCGAACAGTACGTCGGGTGTTGCAGTGCAATACGGTTGCCGCTTACCATTTTTGTTGCGCCCATTACAAGTAAATAGGATATAGTTTAAGATAAAAGCAGAAGTCATCACCAGTGTCATCAAGCAATAGCTGCTTGAGATGCAGGCACCAATTTGTTGCTTTCAAAACCGAACCTTGGATTGGGTACTGTAGCTGGCAAAGCAGCTGGGATGCGCATCGACATGCAAAATATTCTAGAAAAATCCGCCGAGTCATGTACTCCATATGGCTATCCATGAGCATCGCAGTGTATATCTATTGTTAGACACTTCATGATGTTTTCATGGCCCTGTATATGTTAGGTGGCGGGAGAGCCTATGGTGCGCTGAGGTTGGTGGTGGCTAGATCCTGACAGATGGTCTACCCACTGCTGCTACTGCTGCGCCATAGTCTCATGTCCTGGGCGCCTCCACGTGGCGACCGCTGGGTGGGAGTTGGGTTTCGCTCTTCTCCCTGCTAAGATCCAGGACACCAATCCGCATGAGTCAGCTAACTGACCATGTGCTAGACCCGCTGCCTTTCGGGTGTTCATTTAATCGAAGGCTTTGGCTGAGGACCCGAGTCGTTCTCCTGTCAGGTGTGGGCGCCCTGGCAGTATCCTAGTCCATCCTCTCCGGAGGTTAGGAAGTGGTCGATGACCCTCTTCCCGTAAAACCTAGCCATGGGAGACAACAGGTTACGGGTGATATTCTCAATGCTCGATTGGCGTAGAGCACGAGTGCCACGCATTGTCTCTGACGGTGGGAGGACACCTCCGGGTGTTCAATGGTTTGCTACTGCCCACCTCAAGCCAGGCAGCCCCTGGTCAAATTGGTGCAAACCCGCCAAAAACCCACCTGCGTCTCGCCGTGGTCGCAGGTGCGTATCCAATTACGGTCGCAAAACATATGATAACTGTTCCAGAATCTCAAAGGCTGCGTGTGACGGCCGTCAAGCAGATCCCAATCTGTCTCTGCAATCACATTCCCGAGCTGGATCTGCTCTCCACTGCCTTGTGGGTCAGGCTATTGAGCCAAAGGCTCCGGGCGGAGTCCCTCAAGCAAACCTCCAAACCACCCACTGCCTTGTGGGTCAGGCTATTGAGCCAAAGGCTCCGGGTGGAGTCCCTCAAGCAAACCTCCAAACCACCCACTGCCTTGTGGGTCAGGCTATTGAGCCAAAGGCTCCGGGTGGAGTCCCTCAAGCAAACCTCCGAAGCACAACGACCACCTCGCGCGCGATTGCCCACCAATGCAATCGTATGCCTGCACGCAAAGCACTCAGCATCGGGTGCTGGAACGTGCGCACACTACTGGACCGGAACTCCAGCGAGCGCCCGGAGCGACGCACTGCACTGGTCACAATGGAGCTGGCGCGCTACCACATCGATATTGCGGCGCTCAGTGAAACTCGGCTCGCTGAGCAAGGTAAGTTACATGAAGCAGGTGCTGGCTACACATTCTACTGGGTGGGCAACGTCGCCTCAGCACCACGTGAACATGGGGTCGGATTTACAATATCCGATCGTCTCCATGGCCAGCTGGTGGGTGAACCAACGGGCATCAGCGCTCGACTGATGACCGTTAGCCTACGACTAGGAAGAGGTAAGTTTGCTACTTTTATAGGCACGTACGGTCCGACCATGTGTTATCCTGATGACACGCGTGATCAGTTCTGCACTGAGCTATCCTCCGTGATACGGTCTGTGCCGAAGAGCGACCGACTATTTCTGCTGGGTGATTTCAACGCGCGCGTTGGGCGTGATGCATCAGCGTGGACAGATGTTATCGGTGCGCATGGCATTGGTTCAGCGAATGCGAACGGTGACAGGCTGCTCTCACTGTGTGCCACTCACGGCCTGACGATCATGAACACTCGGTTTGCACTGAGCCGGAGTGACAGCAACGTGGACGCACCCACGGAGTGGTCACGCTCACCTGCTCGACTATGTCATCGTACGTCAGCGTGATATGCGTGAAGTGCGCATGACACGTGTACTGCGTGGAGCTGAGTGTGGCACTGATCACAAATTGGTTCGGACCAAACTGTACATATATTTTCGTAAATCTATGTGTTGCACTCCCGCCGTGAATCGGCGTAAATTTAACATTCTCTCCCTCGGTACTGTGGCGAAACGTACTGAGCTGGAGAAGGCGATGGCTGCACGCCTGTGTGGTGATGTGGGCTGTATAGCCACAGTGGGCGACCTGTGGCACCACATTCGCGACCAGGTGACAGCTGCTGCCGAGGAGACCATCGGGCGCGCAAACTGTAAGCGGCCTGATTGGTTTGATGACAACAATGTGACGATTGACGCATTGGTGTCAGAGAAGAATGCAGCATTTGCTGCACATGTTGCAGACCCCAGTGACTTGGGGAAGAAGAGTCAGTTTCGCAAACTTCGACGGCGACTGACCCGAGAGCTCCGTCGCATTAAAAATGCATGGTGGACGGAGAAGGCAAAGCAGATGGAATGCTACGCCGAACGCCGTCAACACAAGGAATTTTTGACTCCTTGAAGGCGGTGTATGGACCGAGATTGGAGCCGCTGAGGACACTGATCGATGGTAGTTCAGGCGCTACCTGCACCCAGATTGCAGACATAATGCAGGTCTGGCGGAAACACTTTGACTGTCTCTTGAACAACCGTTCAGAGATCGACTGGCCTACATTGAATGGACTGAAGCAGCACGATGTGAAGGCGGATCTGGCGGATACGCCGACACTGGATGAGACGCAGAGAGCACTTGCTCAGCTGCGAAACGGCAAATGTGCCGGAGGTGATGGGATTCCACCTGAAGTATTGAAACACGGTGGACCCGCGTTGTTGACTGCGCTGCACCACTTGGTGCAACGCGTGTGGATTGAGGAGGAGGTGCCTGCTGAGCTGAAGGATGCCCTCGTGCTACCACTGTACAAGGGCAAAGGTAGCAAGCAATGTTGCACGAATTATCGTGGCATCAACTTGCTGAGTTGTGTGGGCAAGGTGATTGCCCGAATCCTGCTCAATCGCCTCGTGAAACAGATTGTGGAACCAAACGTGGCGGAAGAGCAATGTGGATTCCGTTCGGGTCGCAGCACTATAGATATGGTGTTTGCGGCTCGTCAGTTGCAAGAGAAGTGCAGTGAACGACACCAGCCTTTGTACTCGCTTTTTGTTGATTTCACCAAGGCATTTGATACGGTGAACCGCGAGGCACTGTGGCTGGTGTTGGGTAAGTTTGGTTGCCCGCGTAAGTTTGTAAGTTTAATTGGATGTCTGCACAGTGGTATGCGAGCGAGGGTGCAGCTGAGTGGAGAGACCTCGGATGACTTTGCAGTTGTCTCTGGTGTGAAGCAAGGCTGTGTCTTAGCTCCTGCCCTGTTAATATCTATCTTCATGCAATGTTGTCTTGTGCTTTTGATGCGGCTTGTGCTTACGGTGTTCGTGTGGAGCACCGTATTGATGGTGGGTTGCTGAACATCCGTCGTTTCGGTGCGAGAACTCTAGTCTTGTGAGACAACTATCCGTATGTTGCTGTTTGCTGACGACTGTGCGTTGTTTTCACACAACGCGGATGAGTTGCAGCACATGACTAGTGCTCTGGCTTCGACAGCGGCCAAATTCGAGCTCACCATCAACACAAGCAAAACTGTCTGTCTCTTTCAGCCTTCACCGGAGCTGCAACCTACAATGGTGCTGCAGATCAGCATGTGTGCCAAAGTAATGGAAATCACCTCACGCTTCTGCTACCTTGGGAGTGTGGTGTTCGCTGACCAGCAGCTACACGTTGAGTTGCGTAATCGCGTGTCGAAGGCGCAGAGACCACGATTCCCGAGAGTGTTAAACGTTCCACCATTTACCGTTACTCCATGGGAGAAAACTTTAGCAAGTCCAATCATATTGCCCGCTGCGACCTATACACGTGGCCATCTTGGTTGTGGCGGTGAACAGCATGGATCACGTAGTGACTCCTGCCCGGATCAGCAAGCAATTCGAGAACGCACTAGCTGGGCGAGTGGAGGAATGGTTACACAATCCGGGGGACGTGAGCCCGATGCCGATTCGGTTGTCACTAAAGCAGAATGTGTTGTATCAGTTGGTTCACCTGAAGATCGGATGGCGAAGCACAATACCGGAGGACACCCCGGTTGTTATATTCGGAGTAACAAGAACAAGATCTGTAAGCTGTTATTATCAGTCGGATGTGAACAGCACTAAGACGGTGATTGGCACAAGTGGCAATGAGTTCCTGCTAATCCAAGGGGAAGACGGATATACGTTTGAACTAATTAGACCCATGGGTCGGTTGACTGATACGGGTATATATCATTGCATAAGCGATTCGTGCTCGTGGTGCAATCCCCAACGTGAGTTGATAGTACTGCCACTACGAACAGAGGTGCACATCCTCATGAATGTATTGCAACCCTTGATGACAGCCGTACCCACGGAATCGTACAGCTTCCTCGATGAGGAGGGTCATCCATACACGTACCCCGGGCAGTCATTCTATGTACGCTGTACGTCTCGGACGGACAGGCGAGTCAATATTCCACCGCGAATGTGCTTCCATTCTGTCGGACCCGTTCTGACCACAGAGTTCGTTGGGAATCACACTGCCTCTCCCGAGAAACTGCAGTCACTTTCCGATGCAGTGTATGTGACACATAGCCTACTATACCGAATAACAATCGCTTCTGACATCCTGCCAATGGAACATGTCCAAACCACGTGTATATTCAGTCATCCGCAAAATATGCCGATTTATGATTTAAACGAGGAGGTGCTTCACAAACAGTACAATCGCACCAGGTATGTGCAGCTACGAGCTCTCCAAAAACCACGGATTTTGGATAACATGGTAGCCACAGATTACGCCCACTTGACTCGACTTCTTATCAGTCCAGATGCATCTGCCATGAACGCACTTATATTTAGCATGGGAGACAATCAAGCACGCGTGGAAGAAGGCATTGTAGGAATCAATTACACGGTCATGCTTGGTCAACCAATGGGATGGAGCGGTGTGTACACAGTGCATCAGCACACGGATGGTTTAGTAACTGAAGCATGTGACCAAATCGGTGGGTTTGAAGTGGGTGACGAAAATGAGACGAGGAAAGCGAGCAACGGGTTCGATGCCCGATTTGACAAAACTTCAATTACGCAATCCAACATCTACGCCTTCCAATTTCGATGTTTCCTGCAACTACGAACCGTAAGCGTTGTCCTCTTCGCGATGCACTCTACGCTAAATTCATACGATAGTAAGATAAGCACACTGGAATTTCTCAACTCTGTCAAGATGATGCTTGATGATTCCATCAGGGGGACTGCCAGAAGTTCACCAAAGACCGTCGCATTCCCGTCATACACAGATGGGTCTTATCGATTGGCACGTACATACGTTGGATGGCATGCCACAATTGAGGTTGGAACTGTCATACAAATGCTCGGCCGGCTGGCCAAAGATGGAAGAGGTGATCCGGTTTGCTTCTACTCATCTGACAAAAGCAACTGGAATCCCACGAATATCAGCGCGGTATTCCAACTACGAATTCTCAAATCCATGAAATACTTTATACTGCATAAACCGACGGCGCAATTAAATGATTCGGGCTGGTACCGCTGCAAACTGGACGATTGTCCCGACTGTGCCACTTATCTGGGAATGTTTGAGAGACAGCTGGTTGTCATACCGGACCGCTCCATTTTACAAATGCGTCTCCAACTAACCGACGAATTGAGTCGTCTTGCTCAGACTTGTGGGCTCGGTGACACACTAGTCCTACAGCCTCAGACTGAGTATCTCCTGAGTTGCACACACTCGGTTCCGGCGGGATTCCCACAGCCGTTGGTTGCCTCTGCCGGTTTGCATTTCATAGATGATGACAGATGGGTGGAACTTAAAGACAGAGACACTAAGTTAACGCATATGATGGATGGACGCACTATTCAACTCAACCGAACAATGTATTTTACTCTACCGACTTCGACATCGGACAGTTTATACACAGTGGAGTTGGTGTGCGTAGTGCAATTCGATGAGTTCAGTGTGCAATACGACATGAGAGCGCGTCAACCTGGTAGAACCCTGACCGAGAATGTGACTGCGATGGTCACTCATAGACGACTACCCGAATTTCATCCCAGCTCAATAGAGACGGATGAGCCATCTATGACTGAGGCTCTGCAAAGTGCTTCGGCTGGTAGACTGGACCGGAAGTCGTTAGTATCGAACCTGAGTAGGGCGGTTGTTTGGGAGGGACCAGTAGATGTGGCATTTCGGGCATACACAGGTTCGCCTCCTGGTTGGACATTTGTCAGAGTCATCAGCAAGTGGAATCACACATTATGGGCGGAGAGTTGTTTGATCTTAAAAGTCAAAGCAAATGTAGATCACACGGAGCAGGAGGTGAGAGTGAGGTGCATAATGCGACCGGAACATGTGGCCCTAGTGCTCATAGCGGCGCACGTGCCTGGGACACGCTGGAACCGAAGTGTGGTCGAGGCACATGCAACGCAGGTTTTACTGACAAACCTGTCCGACTGGATGGGTCTGCAACGCGGATCGTCAGGAAACGACCAGTGGTCGACGTGCTATAATGCGGCTTACCGGATAACCACAGTGCAAGTTCAGTGGAACGCAACTGTGCTAGTGGGCCATGAAGTTGTGATGTACGGGCATCTCGGCAATCGTCGTGAGGATCAGCTGAATTGCAGGCAAAACGGGAAACCACTTCAACACCATAATCGCACAATGCTGAGGCTTAATCCCGTGAGTGATTATTTCACCTTGACCATTACCGACGCAACGTATTCCGATACTGGGATGTACGAGTGTAGACCAGTGGACATGTTGGCCTCTCGGAACGACTTGTGGGGTCTGGGACCACGTTTATTGCAGGTAATGCCTGACTCTTCTACGGCGGCCAACTGTTCGCTCACTGCTGATGCCGTGGGGAAGGAAATGCTCAGAAACGGTGGTTCGGACACCAATGGGTTGAACTACTTGCTGGCTGGCGAATATGGATATGTGAGGTGTATGTTTGAAAAGACGTTCACTGAGTTTTATCGGCCGGTATACACACTGGAACATCGCATGCTCGATGTAAGCACAGGGCGCTCAGAGCCGGTGGAAGTAACGCAAATTGTGGTTCATCCTTTACATATTAATGGCATGTTTACCGTGCAGGTGTATAAAATCGAGGGCCTCAAATCCAAATTGTACAGAGGTCCGCTGACTGCCAGTTGCAAAGCAAGGGTCGAATTTGAACTCCCGGACCAAGGGTCACCCATCACGCATATTGTATCTTGTCAAATGACGTATGCTGTTCTGGAGGCGGCGAATGGCGAACTGCTCATTGAGACGTTATCCAAAGATTATGATTCACAACCAGTGCCACTCGGCACGGAGTTCAAATGTGTGGGTGGCTATGGATCTCCTCCACTGGGACACGGTTGGACTTTGAGCGATAACGACTGGTTCGATGTTTTCTCATCCACATTAATCCGCGACAATTTGTCCGCAACTCATCATGGCCAGTGGGTTGGACCAAAACATACGTTCACAGATCAACCGGTGAATGGGCTGGTCATCAAGGGAGACAGACTGATCATTCCAACTGACGACCGTTATAGGGGAATGAGTTATGCATACACTTGTTGGGGCAACAACTCCTTCGGAAACAAGGTCTGGAGTATACGAAAAACCATTCACTTCACTGTGATGATTTGTCCCATGCGTTTTGTGCCCTTGGACCTCACCGTTCTCCTGAGTTCCCGATTACTATCTCGATGCACACTTGAAGGGAATCCGGATAGGGAGATACAGTTCTATGGGCACTTTTACCTACGCTTGATTCAGCAATTGATAATGGGCTTGCCACACGGACCCACACAAACACGGTTTCACTTCATCCGCGACGACATTTTCAGTCACAATGCTTCAGACAGCTTTGCATTCACCGCGTTTACGCAGCAGCTCAGTCGAGAGCAGTTGCTTCGAGCGGTCAACCCGAATGGAACTAAACCAAAAACCGACCCTGTCGGTTGCGGTGCTTTACCGATCATCGTGGATTCGGTAATCAGACACCTTGTTGCGCTGCACCATTTTCCACTGCCTGGTCGCGAATACGTCCTCTTGTTACCGTTTGACGATTTCACTGACACCCGTATCACAAACGAGACGAAGTCGTTGCTCTCCGTCCTACTGCAAAGTAACCTGTCTACCGTGTTAGCCAGCACGGTTGGACAGGGGGTGCATGGGAGTGCAATTATCCACACATTGGAGGAACTGTTTTCCACCACACGAACCATTAACCTTTTACCCAACTTCAGTGGAGACACTCACTGCTTGAAGTGTCATCCACGATTGGAGGCAGAAACACTTCGTATTGCACGCGATGAGTTATTCAACACAATATGCGAGGCAACTGGCATCACCCGACCGGATTCCTGTCCCGCACCTACTTTGCGCTTCGCCATTCCAACACGTCACTGGTACTCCGGACTACAATTGGGAGTTACATGTACTGCCGATCTGAGTCGACCGTTTCGTGGGCAAACAGCTACAGGTGTGGCGATCTGTTTGACCAACGGAACCATGTTGAAGGAGTTGGAGCAAAGTACTCCCAACGTGCAGCAGCTGATGAAGGCGTGCATACAAGAGCTAGCGAATGATGTCACAAGATCAATTAGTGCACCAAACGAATTTTCAGTGAGTGCTCAGCTAAAACTGCAGAACAGGGACGATGAGAGTTCGCATCTCATGTGTTACCAGCGACAAGGCGATACGGATCCGCAGGTGAGTTTGACCAGTTTTCTCTATTATACGCATCCTCCTTGAGCAGCTCCACCCATAGTCTATTGGGTATCAGTATACATGCGTCATTAAGAACCAACGCGCCTTCATCACTTACAGCCACTGATAAGTTTAGCGTGAATGTGTCCTCTAAAAATTCCGAGGACTACGTAGATTCATGTCTATGTGTGTTTTGTTTGCATAAAGTATTTCATTTAGCTAAGTAGGGGAAGTGGGTTGACTTACGGAACCCAACGCGGTGCCTTAGTTCGTAAGGACATTACACTTCGAGCAGCGAAGCAATAAATGTCTAACACGAATGGTCTGGAGCACGCACCATGATTTACGAATAGAGATAAAGTACTCAGGGCGCCGGAAAACATTTTCCAGTATGTTCAACACATTAACGAACACTTCAAATCTCGACATCAGTTTGATTAATACGCTTCCTTAGTGTTCAATGGCAGTCCACATTGAAGCGTTTTGCCACACAGGTCGTCCATCCACCCACCGTTAGGTACTAAATGCTGGTCTCAGTGTGGGTGGTTAGCGGCCCTATAGCCGTTCAAATTGACTAGATCACATTGCTGTTTCCAGTGCTATTCAGTGGCTAACCAGATGGCAGTCTGATACACCTTCCATTCTAAAACGCTGCCGCTGTTTGTCTGCGACTGCCAATTATTTTCAAATGAGAATCAAACACGACTCATTCACATTCGGCTTCACTAGGAAGGCATTCCCCGATCCTCATGCTAGGGAGGCGCGCGACGGCGTACAACGATCCCATAAACCGCTCTCTAGGTAGATATACCATTCTCAGCTTCAACTTGCATCATTACTCATCCACCCTGAGTATATTCTGGTATCATCGCTTCATTAGTATACACCTAACTGTGGTATCATCATCCTCTTTGGATTTTGTGGTTCACACCCCAGCTGTTCACTTCATTTGTCAAGCGTTCATTTCATAATAAATAATAATAATCATGTGTGAGCTATACGCCGTAGCGGTGCTTCGCTGACGCGCGACAATCAGCAGTCGCACGCAGGCTGAGTATACCGCGAGAACGCTCGCCGCTATGCGGATTCGAACCCGCGCCGCAAGATTACGAGACAAGTTCGTTACCAATAGGTTACGGGCCGACATTCACTTCGTAGCCCTCACTAGATGATTACTGGGTGTACTTATCGACCGATGCTATGTAACGCAGTGTATACTAGCCATGGTACAAACACAAATATTAACCATTTTATCAGCTACATGACAACCTTATTGCACAGCTTGACACATCGCTCATCGTAATTGCATGAAGCCACGAAACTGTGTGTTGCGGCCATCGTACCAATGAAGGTGTCGGTGCAATGGTGCCCAAACGATTTAACGCTTCAATTCGCCCGCTTGCATTAGTCTTTGCGTTGATCCTATATATCAAAGCCACAAGCATTAAATTGACAAGAAATAACAAAGCGGCGTGTGCAAAACACACGAAGAGCTCCCTATTGGTGCTATCATTTTTTGATCTTTGTACTTACCATACGACTACATTCTAAGGTATCTTGATGCCTCAATGCCTGTTTTGCATATATATATATATATATATATATTTACGGAGCTGTTTATTTCTCCAAACTCCCGTGGCAACAGTCCGAAGTGTTGGTTCCCGGTCTTCGTGGCCTTTTCGGATTGCCTGGAGCAACCCAAGTCAACTTGAATCAGGACACCTAAGTCACGTTCGAGAGTTGATTGTTGCAGTATATTCGTTTAGACTCGGTATGAGTAGCTGCTCTGATGTCGGATGGAAAGCACCTTGCATTGACTGACGTTGAAATGCAATAAGTTTTGGGTCGACCACTGATACACCGTATCTAAATCACTCTGAAGCAAATGTTGGTCGGTGTTCGCCTGGATCCTACGCCAGATCTTGATATCGTCGGCAAACATTAGGAAGTTTGCAGCGATTCCCTGTGCAAGGTCATTAATAAACATCAAAAACAAACGTGGACCTAGAACCGAGCCTTGCGGCACACCACACTCCACTTGTATGGGGTCCGATAAAGAGCTCCGAACTCTGACCACTAATTGCCTTTGAAATAGAAAGTTGGCAATCCAGCTTACAGGTGGGTCGCTGATGCCGTAATGCTGCAGCTAGGATAGTAGTATCCGATGGTCTAGACGATCGAAAGCCTTGGAAAAATCCAGGTAGATCATATCAACACCTTCTCCAGCGTCGGCTGCCTCGGTCCAACTACTGCATGCAATTAGTAAATTCGTTTTACATGACCGCTGTCGACGGAAACCGTGCTGTTCAGGGGTGATGAGGTTGCAGTTTTCCAGATAGCATACCACTGCATCGGCAACTATGGATTCCATGACCTTGGAGAGTATAGGAAGAAGAGATACTGGGCGGTAGTCGGAGGGATCAATTCTGCTTCCACCTTTATGAATCGGGATTATTATTCCAAGCTTCCACATGGCGGAAACTTGGTTCTGGTCTAAGCAGTGCTGGAAAAACTGAGCTAAAGGTCCTGCCAGTTGGTTTGCTGCTGCTCCCAATGCCTCTGGACGAATGGTGTCGACACCTGGCGAGCTGTGTTTGCGTAGAAAAGTCAGCTTTTGCAATACAGCCTCTGCGGTAAAACTGATGTGGGTTAGTCCTGGCGAGCAGAATACAAAGCTTGGTAGATCGCTTGGTGGCAAGACTCCTTGAAACGTGGGGGTGTATTGTATCTGCAGCGTGTTTGCTGCTTCCACAGCCGTTCTTGTTAGGCAATCAGCCGTCTTGAGTGGAGCAAATCCTTGCCTCATTTTTGTAGGCTATTAACTTGCTTTTACAGCAGTTTGTGGTTAGCACTGAAGGTTGTTGAGATGTTCTGCTGATAGGCTGCTTTGTCATCACTTAACAGTTGAGTGCAGTGGTTACGTTGGGCTACGTACTTGTCCCAAGTTGCTGGTGCTGGAGCTTCTCTGTACACTCACCATACTGCGTTGCGCAATGTCATCCATTTTCGAGTTCTGCTCCTAACGAAAGAACCTGATTTGCACTTATTGCAAGCTTTTATCTCTGAAGCCTGTGCAATCAGCTGACTGAATGTGTTGACGAATTCGAGCCAGGCGACTTCCGGGTGTTCTTTAATTAAAGACTAAGTTGTGGCGCTGACGAGCTGGGCTAAGCGATTGCAGCTTGTGATCGTTTGCACAGTCTCACTGTAATCATTCAGATATTCTGCATAGCAGAAGAACGGACAGCAGCATGGATTTGTACACCATCAGCTTCGTGACAATGGTAAGCTGATGGTTGTTCCATACTCGGTACTCAAACTTCCCGAATACCGCCGCTGCTTTCGACACGCGGATACGTGGCTCACTGTGTATCCGCTGATCAGTTGACATCACACTCCCAAGGTAGCAGAAGCGGGAGGTGGTTTCCAATACTTCAGCACCAATGCTGATTCGCGGCAATCTTGAAGATCGCACCCCCGGTGAAGGCCGCAAGAGACAGACAGTTTTGCTTGTGTTGATGGTGAGCCCGAATTTTGCTGCTGTCGAAGCCAGAGCACTAGTCATATGTTACAACTCATCCGCGCTGTGTGAAAACAACGCACAGTCGTCAGCAAACAGCAACATACGGATAGTTGTCTCACAGAATAGAGTTCTCGCACCGAAAAGACGGAAATTAAACAACTCACCATCAATACGGTGCTCCACACGAACACTGTAAGCACAAGCCGCATCAAAAGCACAGGACATCGTTGCACGAAGATATATATTAAACAGGGCAGGAGCTAAGACACAGCCTTGCTTCACACCAGAGACAACTGCAAAGTCATCCGAGGTCTCTCTACTCAGCTGCACCCTCGCTCGCATACCGCTGTGCAGACATTCAATTAAACTTACAAAATTACACGGGCAACCAAACATACCCAACACCAGCCACAATGCCCCGCGGTTCACCGTATCAAATGCCTTAGTGAAATCAAAAAAAGCGAGTACAATGGCTTGTGTCGTTCTCTGTACTTCTCCTGCAACTGATGAGCCTCAAACACCATATCTATAGTGCTGCGACCCGAACGGAATCCACATTGCTCTTCCGCCACCTTAGGTTCCACAACCTGACTGACGAGGCGGTTGAGCAGGATTCCTGCAATCACCTTGCCCACACAACTCAGTAAGTTGACGCCACAACAATTCGTGCAACAATGCTTGCTCCATTGGCCTTCGTACAGTGGTAGCACAAAGGCATCCTTCAGCTCAGGAGGCACCTCCTCCTCAATCCATGCACGTTGCACCAAGTGGTGCAGCGCAGTCAACAACGCGGTTCCGCCCTGTTTCAATATTTCAAGCGGGATCCCGTCGGCAGTGGCACACTTGCCGTTTCGCAGCTGAGCAAGGGCTCTTTGTGTCTCATTCAGTGTCGGCGTGTCCGCCAGTCTCATCTTCCCATCGTGCTGCTTTAGGCCGTTCAACGTAGGCCAGTCGATCTCTGAATAGTTGATCAAGAGACAGTCGAAGTATTTTTGCCAGATTTGCATTATGTCTACATTCTGTGTGTAGGTAGCGCCTGAACTACCGTCGATCAGTATCCTCAGAGGCTCCAATCTCGGTCCATACACCGCCTTCAAGGATTCAAAGAATTCCTTGTGTTGGCGGCGTTCGGCGTAGCATTCCATCTGCTTCGCCTTCTCCGTTCACCATGCAATTATTATGGGACGTAAATTTCAGGTCAGTGGCCGTCGAATTTTGCGAAACTGACTATTCTTCCACAAGTCACTGAGGTCTGCCACATGTGAAACGAATGCTGAATTCCTCACGACGTCAATGCATCAATCGTCGCATCGTTGTCATCAAACCAACCAAGCCGCTTACAGTTTGTGCGCACCATGGTCTCCTCGGCAGCAGCTGTCACCTGGTCGCGAATGTGTTGCCACAAGTCGCCCACTGTGGCTATACAGTCCATATCACACAGGCGTGCAGCCATCGCTTTCTCCAGCTCAGTACGTTTCGCCAGAGTACCGAGGGAGAGAAGGTTAAATTTACACCTATTCACGGCGGGAGTAAAATACATAGATTTACAAGAATATATGTACAATCTGGTGCGCATCAAATTGTGATCAGTGTCACACTCAGCTCCACGCAGTACACGTGTCATGGGCATTTCAAGCATGTCACTCTGGCGTAATATGACATAGTTGCTCAGGTGCGCATGACCACTCTGTGGGTGCGTCCAAGTAGCTATTTCACTCGCACT